GGAATGGGTGCCCCAGACACACTCTCCTCATCACTTCCATCTCTGCCCTGCACTGTGATCTCTGGTAGATCATCAAATCTTACCAACTCGGATTCCTAGGGAGCCACTTCAGAAATTGTATTGGACATGCCCTTGTACATGATTTTCTCATTGAAAATCATATTTCTGCTTCTTATGATCTTTTGATCTTGATCATCCAAGAAACTCACCAAATGTCTCGTCTTCATAGCCAATGAAATAAGATTTCTTTGGCTTAGCCTCGAGCTTGCTACGAGCATCAGGATTAATATAAATATAAGAAAGACAGTCAAAAGTCTTAAAGTGAGAAAATTTGACCTCTTTCTCATTCCAGATCTCCCAAAGCAATTTACAGTCTAATGAAACGGATGACCCTTTATTGATCAAGTAAACTATAGTGTAGACCGCTTCAACTCAGAAACTAGGTGATAGTTTGACGTGCAGTCTCATGCTTCTAACGTGCTCATTAATAGTCCTGTTCAGACGTTCTATAACTTCATTTTACTGTGGTATCCTAGGAATGATCTTCTACATTCTGATTCCCTATGCTGCACAATACTTCTTGAACCCACAATCAATATATTCACTACCATTATCAGACCTCAAATATTTCAGTTTTAAGTTTATCTCTGTCTCAACCATGGCCTTCCAAGTCCTGAACACATTAAATAAATCTGATTTATGGTTCAAGAAAAAAACTCATACCTTCCTACTGTGGTCATCAATGAATGTGACATAGTAACGAGAGCCTCTAAGAGATGCCACAAGAGAAGGCCCCCACACATTTGTGTGTACAACTTCCAATTTTCCTGTCTTTAGTGCTCTGTCACCTTTCAAAAAACCAACCATTTTCTGTTTCCCCATAATGTAACTCTCACACATGCTGAGATCAACTGACTTTGGATCTAGTAACTTGCCTCTAGACTGAAATTCTTTCAGACCCATCTGACTCATGTGGCCAAGCCTACAATGCCACAAGTCTGTTGTGCTCTCTGCAACGGTAGTATCAACACTATTAATTAAATCACTGGTAATATATAGTGTGTTAGTTTTCTTACCCCGAGCCAGTATCAATATCCCTTCTATAACCCTCCAGGAGCTATCTAAGAATACTGCTGAATGACCACCCTCATCGAGCTGTCCAACATAAATAAGAAAAACTCAGGAAGATATCTGACATTTTGTAAAGTTTATTTGTTCTTATTAGATAGTGCAATGTCAACGTCTTCCATCCCCATCACGTTCAAAGGTTCTCCATTAGCCAGATACACCTTCCAAAGTCACCTGCAACGTAATTCCGCATTAACTCCCGGTGGGAAGATGTATGAAAGGAAGCTCTTGAATCCAGTATCCAGACATCAACAAAACTTTAAACTACCAGCAATAGTGCATCATATACTTCTTCAGTTACAATATTAGCATTGACATTCTCTGCCTTCATGGGATTTTTTAAGTTCTTCTTTAAGTGGTCAGCTTTGTCACAATTCCAGCAATTTGCTTACTGACCAGACATTGACTTGCCCTTGCCTATGTGTCTTGATTTTGGCATTTCTCTGTTTGAATTCTTATTTTGCGATCTCCCTCTGCAATCAACATTCAGTGCTGAACTCGAGACCTCACCAGAATCTTTCATACGCATCTCCTCAGCCAAAATTAAATCACAATAATATTTCAGCTTGAATTTACCTGCAAAATTGCTATCAACTAACTTCATGGTTTTCTAGTTATTTGACAATGAAGTCAACAATATCAGTGCACGAATCTCATTATCAATTCAATTTAAATAGATGATAATTGATTTGTAATATTATTAAAATCAGTCAGATGTTGTGCAACAATTGTACAATCCGTCATCTTCAAATTGAATAATTTTTTCATCAGATGCACCTTTTTATTCGATGATGGTTTTTCATACATACATGACAAAGCTGTCATGAAACCTGCAGTCGTTCTTTTCTTGATTACGTTGTGTGCAACGAATCTCAACAGGGTTAATCGAATAACCGTCAAAACCTGTCGATCCAACAGACTCCATTTAACCCCATCCATATTTTCTAATTTATTTCCCAGTAACGGAAAATGAAGTTTCTTCCCATAGAGATGGTCATTTATCTACATCTTCTAATAACTAAAATCTGTGTTATTAAACTTCTCGATCCTTAATACCTTCACTTCATCTCCAGTCATCGCTTTCCCTCACATCCGAACCTTGACCCTGATATCAATTGTTATGAAAAAGGACGACAATAAAGCGAAAAATTGGAACGAAAAAATCGCAAAACAGAAAAGAACACCCAGAGGTGTACGGGTTCGACAAATTGTCTATGTCCACGGGAGTTGCAAAAAATTTTATTACTTCAAGGATTTAACCGCCGAATAACTCTCTCTTCCTCTCTTTACGCGAGGGCCGCAGTCAAAGAGATTTGAAAAACTGAGCCTTGCGATTGCTTCTCACATCTTCACTCGTGAGCAAGAAGACTGAAGAAGACTTGAAGAGAAAAGATGGCAGCCGAACCCAAAAATTCCTGCGAACTTCTGTGTCTCACAAAAACAGTAGAGCAATGCTTCTCTGTCGCGATACTTCGCTGCGCTGAAGCCCTCACCTGGTTCGATCGCATTGTCTGCTCATCGATAGGAGAGGCAAAGCTCCCCCTTTTTATAGTGATAACATAGAGCGGGAGAAGTTCGAACGAGCGGGAGACAATCAATAAGGAAGCCACGAGTAATTCTTTCGAAGGAAAGAATTAAAGATGCAATATAATTATTCAATATATTTCATAAATACAAAAACCTCCAATTTAGGATGAAATGGACCGGGCTCCACATAACCCAATAGCCTTCTCAATCCTTATATTTAAAGAACACACTACAATAAGGAAGCACCAAAAAAAAAACACATAAAAAATCTTATTCATCTTATATGATCTTTTGAAGAGTTGAGCGACATATTCTCCGAATTTGTTTCACATAGTCAGCTACATCCTGGGTCTACACATGGCAGCAATACCTTGATTGAATCCCAAAGTTTTCAAGGAGCCCTTCTTTAAAAAATTCTTCTTAAATGCCAGAAGTGCATTCTCATTCCTAAAAAATCCCATCTCAAACTCAAGAATTCTCCCACTGCTTAAGAGCCCTCTCCTTTTCTTGGAAGAGCTTCCTTGACCTTTGAATGCTTTCAACACAACAATTTATTATGCAATAAAAAAAGAGTTGGCTCATTAATAATGGCAATCAACGCTATGGTAGTAATCCCTCTAGCTTAAACATGCACCGCTATGCCCTAAAAATATAATGACTACCATACAATGATTGAAAACGTAGTACCTAAGTTATCATTGCGCTAGAATGTATTAATTGCATTAATAACTCCATAATATCTTATCTTGCTAAGCATGCCTCAAGCAATCCCGAAAACCTCATAACTTCCGAGCAATGATTATCAACCTCAATACAAAAACCATCAAAGGGCTGCCAACCATTAATGGAACACCTATAAATACGCTTGAGAATACCACGATTACATGTTGAACATTAAAACTAGCCCGAGATTCCCTCGTGCACTAATATCTAAAGTCCTCAACATCATTCTACTCTTTTCAACTTATTCTCAACCTTAATTTAGGCTCCGTTTGGGGCAGCTTATCCGCTGCGGCGGCATTTTGAAAACGCCGTCTCGCCGTTTGGAAACTACATATGAGCAGCTTATCCGAAAATGCAGTTGTTTTTTACACTAAACGCGGAACGCATGTTGAACCCCACGGTCCGCGTTTCCAGGTAAGCGGCTTATCTGGATAAGCACAAGCTGCCCTAAACGCACCCTTAGTTATTCTCAACCCTTGTAAGGCAATCGTAATAAAAAGATTATGCTAGTTACCTACGACAACAGATGTAGATCAAGATGACTAAATCACTATAAATGTATGCTCCACCTAGTTTATGTTGCTTTTGCTCTTATTTGCTTTGCACGCAGTCCTTCGTCTCTCTTTTCATCTTCATTGATTAATTTTGATTATAGTGTGCTCTTCAAATCCCGATCTCATACATTGGTAAAACTCTCTCCTTGTCATCTATAATAAGCCCACCTTTCATCATTAAGACAAGGAGCTCAAAATCTCCCTCTATCACTTTTTAGTTGTCTTTGTGAGCTCTTTGCATGCAAGGTAAAATGTGAGAGATAAGGAGACACATAGAGGCTCGGGCTATATACGAGTGATAGAATAAATATGGGAGTAAGAAGAGAACTGGGGAGAGAGAGAACACTCCTTTGTTAATATTAAGAGGGAGGTTAGTCCCAAATTATAGAGTTCAATTCCGGCTCAAGATTTGCAGAGAGTAATTCAATCTAATCTTGAGCCAAGCCAGGTGTGGTAATAAATTGGCTTGATCATCCTCAATTTGATCTAAACATGCTTTGTTAAGATCAATTTGTACCCAAACCAAAATTATTTTGGTCGAGTCTTGTCCTACGATAAATTATTAATCATTCATTCAATATATATATATAAATATTTATATATTCTCATGGCTTTCGCAAACTGATAGAAGGCACTAAAATAACAATTAATGGGGAGAAACAAGTACTGATTGTAAACCGCTTTTTTGTCTCCGAAACCTACAAGACAACAAAATCTTTAACCGTGAAGCTATTGCAAGTGACAGAATTAACCCAAAATGGCAGCAGAACTCCCTAATAATAGCAAGGAAAGCACTAAAACGAAAAAACGATATACAAATAAGGAATACAACTATGATGTCGCCAAATGCCCATAGTATAATTATTTATGGCTGCTTAGTCATAAAATAAATGTCATGTTTTAGAATTAAATACTATAAAGATATCTTATGGAACTCACCAATTTTACAACAACAAAAGCCCAAAAAATGGAAAAAAATTTAACATGACTTGAATGGAAAGTCTGCCATTAAAGTGTCAACAAATTTACAAAACAATGGGGAAAAAAATGAGTAAAATAAGAACATACCCCGGTGATCTTAACAAGTTTACCAACAGGAAGGTTCCTAGGATTAATGGCCGTATCAGGATAACTTCTGAAGTACCTTTCCAGCTCCCTCCTTCCTCTCGTCCAATTCCACAGCGCCACAACTCCAACCACCACTGCAGCCCCAACAAACCCAAGAAAAATCTGCGGCCGTCCAGCTGCTGCCCACAAAAACGCGCCCAACCCAATCGCAAGCATAAAAGCTACAGCGCTCACCGCAAGCCACACCTTCGGCAACCAATACCAAACCCTAATATCGCTCTCCACAACCGTCACCCCCGGACTGACCATCTTTTTCTTCGCCGCCGGCGCCAGTGAAAACTCGCCGACTGGGCCAGAAGTAATGAGGCCCGTCGGCGAAAGAAGCGGGCCGGATGTCATCCTCGTCGATGACTGGCCGGAGATTCGAGCTATGGGGCCGGAGTGGGAGCGCGTAGAGACGGAGGGGCGGTCGATGGGAATGTCGAACATCCGGGCGAGCTCGCCGGACGTTCGCACGCCGCCGCCAGTATACGACGTTCGGACGTCGCCGCCAGTATACGGAGCAGCCGCGGATGACATCTTCGCTGCGCGGACCTTGGTAGCTGCCGGCGGCAGACCGGAGACAAGCATACCAGTGCTCAGCTTGTGCGTTCTGCGTCCTGAGGACATCTCCAGTAAGCCAGAGAGGCAGAGAGATGGAGACAAGGACTGGAGTATTGAAGTGGCGTCAGGATAGTAACGGGATTTATCAGGTTTTGTACGAATTCACCGTTATATATTTTTTTCAAGTCCCAAATAATACGGTGAAAATGAAAATCACTTGGCATAACTCCTGCAGTAAGTCTCAATGCAGCTAAAGAACTCTCGACTCAAAACACACAACACCGTGAATAATACATAGAATAATGCTTAGAAAAACATCTGCAGTAGATCTTGAGTCGGCCAAAGAAAAACAACCGCTATAACATGATGAATAACACCTAGAAGAACATTCACACTAAGGGTCTGTTTGGGGCAGCTGTAACTTATCCAGTTTTTGCTGATAAGCAGCTTATCCTGATAATCTGCTGATGAGCAGCTGATCCGGATAAGCTGTCTGGCTGTTTGGTTGGCGCTTATGGAAAAGTTGATTGTGAAAAATTGACGAAAAATTGACAATTCTGCCTCTGTTCTAAATAAGCAGTTTTGTTGTTTGGTTAGTGTGTTTTGTAAACAACTTATTTGGAATTTTTTTTTATTAAATGAATAATCTGTGCAGCAGAATCTGTTTTTTTTTCAACAAAATTAAAGATCACTGTTCAAACAAGAAAATATCAAAAAGTTGATTTATATTCATATAACTAAAATTTATCCGATCACATCAAACGAATATGTTACACATATAAAAGTCAAACGCACCTGCACATACTACTACAAAGTATAATAAGAGCCCATAAAAAAAAAGAAAAAATAACATGTTAAAATGATAAGTAGAAATACAATAATGTTAACTTTATAATGTAGCAGCATATCACAGCCCATGCCACTTGCATCTGACACTCCAGAAACCTGAGCAAACCTGTCCGACTGCGATATTGTAGAAACGGAAGAACTCGAAACCACATGTGGCGTTCTCCCCTTGTGACACTATTGAACTCCTAGCAGTTGTGTCCAATTGGCAGCACGTAGAAATAGTTCCACTATCGGCCCACCTGAAGAATTTGCTGTCGTCCGGTCCTTGTCCCCACCGCGGACACCTATAGAATTGTCGTCCGTAACTATGTGTTTGTCGTGATGTGAAAAGCAATGACGGTAGCCCACATCGGCACAGCATTTGCCCTGACTTCCCTGAATATCTCGAGCTCATTGTCCTGCAATTATTATAAAAAGCGTTAATAAGTCAAAAAATCGTTAATAAGTCAAAAACTAGAGGGAATAAAAAAAAACTCAACATACCAAATTGTGGAAGCAATCATTGCAACAGAGTTATTTGGTCACCTGCATCTTTCATGGCAAATAAATCACAAAACAAAAGAACAATTTTTACCAAATATTGATCCAATATGTTTAGGGTTTAGAATAAAAAATTAGATACTATAAGAGTAATACTTAGGACTTGCACTTTTTTAAAAGTAACAGATGATGATTGCTCCATCTAACAATAATCAACATACCTTAAAAGCTTCGAACCTTTCACCATCCAACAATAAACAAAAACTCTTGAGTAACTTGTATATTTCAAATTTCCAACAACCAAAACAAATCAATTGCAAAAAAATCTCATTGAGTTTCACACAAACCATCAACAATGAAGAAGGAGAAGAGAGAAACTGAGATCAAAACATAACTAAAATAAATCTTGATGATTCCATTCTGAAGATAGAAAAATGTATTTCCTAGCTTGGTTTAATGATTATGCATCTCTAGGATTCATCATAGTTAAAAAAATTTCATACAAATCAAGAATTTGTAATCAAACCGACTTCATAGAGAGAAGCCAAAGGGGAATGCAACTAGCACATGACAATTCCAACAGGCAAGAAGCAATCAAACCGACAAAAGATACCCATCCCAACAGCCAAAATAAGAAAAATAGAACAATAAGACCGACAAAAGATACCCATCCTGAAAGCCAAAATAAAAATTGAAACAACATATCTCTATAATTACTGAAGAAGAACGAAGCAATATGTAATCACTGGATCTGACATTGAAGCAAAATTTTAGGCAATATCTTGAGGGATCTATTTGCCTGAGGGATCTATTTGCTTCTATTTGCTTTTATGGATCAAAATATCGATATTGCTCATTTACCGCAGATGGTTAAAACGGATAGTGATTACATTGAAATCACTAGATCTGACATTGAAGCAAAATATCAGATAATATCTTGAGGGATCTATTTGCTTTTATGGATCAAAATATCGATATTGCTCATTTACCGCAGATGCTTAAAACGGATAGTGATTACATTGAAATCACTAGATCTGACATTGAAGCAAAATATCAGATCTAGTGATTACAAAATATCGATATTGTTCCTTTAGGCAAAACCGCAGATGATTAAAAAAACTAAAGTCGCTAATCCGTGGATGGTTCCCCGCTGTTGGACTCCGGCGATGGATTCTCCGCTGCTAAATCACGCGTCAGACAGCTGTCACGGGAGCAAGCCTCGATCCAGCGTCGAATGGCAAGGTTACGGGAGCGAGCGGCGAAGCCCTGCTGGATCCGACATCGAACGACTTGCTGACGAGAGCGAGAGGCGAAGCTTTGCTGGATCCGACGTCGAACGGGTTGGTGACGGGAGCGTGAGGCGAACGACTGCGATCCGGCTTTGAACGGAGACGGGAGCGAGAGGCGAAGCTAGGGTCACGGGAGATGCGAAAAAAAACAAGGTCACGGGAGCGGGA